AAATATGGTATTCGTATTTCAGAAAAGGCCCAGCAATCGAATTAATGCATTGCGTGTTTTAATTGCTTATTGTTTGTTTCAGCAAGACCAGAAGACCCCATCACCGTATCAGTTTCACCCAAAAAYCTYCACATCTCATCGGGTCAAACAGCAAGGTTTATATGCAAGGCTAATAGCCAGACTTACTACACATTGAAATGGACCAAGGGTGAATCAGACAAGCTKCCAGACGGCGCGGTCGATAAAGATGGCATTCTTACCATTGAATCGGTTAAACGAATGCACACMGGAACATATACATGCACTGGGTCAAATCAGAACAGTTTCGACCAGGTCACTGTACAGTTAAAGGTTGCAGGTTTGTATTAAGAACCCCGAAAAGCGACCATTTTTATATCCGACCAACCATGACACTTAAAACATATACATGCACTGGATCAAATCAGAACAGTTTTGATCACGTCACTGTACAGTTTTTGTATTCAAAACCTCCAAAAGCAACCATTTTTTTAAATCCGTCCAACCATGACTCTCGCAAGTCAAATTGAAACAGTTTGTACCAGATTGTTGTTTAGTTATGGTTAGGGCGATTATTTTTCAAGATCTACATAGCCACGGGCAAATTACTCATTCACAAGATCAAATCAAAAGAGTTTTGACAAGATTGTTGTTTGGTTATCGTTATGGCGTCCATTTTTTCCAGATCTACATAGCGACGGGCAAATACTCATTCACAATTTCTCAACACATTTTTCCGAATTTAATTGCCCTAGTTCATTATGACGTCACATCAAAACATTTATTGTTTTAACCCTAAGGATTATGGTCGCCAGAAGGGATCAGAGTGACTGCATATCAAATAAAATGTACATGAACAATCATAAATACATGATATATATCAAAACGCGATTCATTGAGGTTCTACTTTATTAGACAATATAAATGGGTCCAAGTTTCTACTGTTTTTGAGCATCGTTTTCCGATGTAAACATACTGTGACGTCATAATGAAATAGGGCAATTCCAAGGGTCTTTCTCCCGGAATATAACCTCCTTCCTAGCACTATAACTTTCCTCTTCTTCCAYATCAGTTTAACATCACATGACTCGTTAATACAATTTCCTCTTGTCCACAGCAATAATCACACCACAGGTCTCCATTCTACCTCGATTCCTAACAGTAAACGAAGGAGACAATGTTTTCTTCAGATGCCGAGCTACAGGGCTCCCGCCACCTGACCTTATATGGATAGGYGGCCCTGAGGGGAAGCTACCCGATGATGTTCGTCTGTCAAAAGGAAATTCAGTGTTTGAAATCTTTAGGGTTAAAAAGAAACACGAAGGGGAGTACTACTGTGTTGCCAGGAATGATGGGGCGGTTGGTAGAATGAGAACAGTCTTGAACGTGAGAGGTATGGGTCCGACCCGACGGACACTTTAACTTTACAATTATATTAAGAAAATCACGGGTTTGTTGACTGCGGATCCATAAGATAAGATCATCACTTTATTTTATACACACTTACATATATATAACATGGGCGCGCGGAGATATAGAGGATATAACATGGGCGCGCGGAGATACGGATTTTATTTTCAAATGTCTGAAGAGATCTCTCACGAGTGAGGGTAGCGATGGAGAGACAGACTTATAACACAAGAAGATAAAATTCGTATCTCCAAGCGACCATTTAATATTCTTTTTATCGCTGATATAATTGTATATGAAAGCAAATTAAGTCATAAACGATTCCCTTTGTTTTACTTCCAATATATAGAGAAACCTCGGTGTTATTTTCATTAGTGAAAATAAAAAGAGAGAAATCAAAGGTCTTATATGATAAAAGCATTTGACCCCCCCAGATTCTACATGAATAACTTAAGAAAAAYTGACGATCATCTTACAATTCTAGCTGTTGGCAGTGCACCGATTGTTCAAGTAAGTCCCAAGAGTCTCGATGTGATGGAAGGCGAGGCAGCTGAACTACAGTGTACGGCGTCTGGTGACCCTCCGCCAACCTTTACTTGGAGTAGAGTGGAAGGAGATATCCCAGAATCATCCACAAAAATTGATGGCGTATTAAGAATTGATTCATTGAGCATTAACGATAGCGGAACTTATGTCTGTACAGCGGCCAATCGTTTTGGCGCAGTCGCAGAAAATGCTGTTGTGACTGTAGAAAAAGGTAGGCCAGCGCAAATAGTTATGAATTTAATGCTTACTTAGCCACTTAGTTCCTGAAGCAATCCCAAGTGCCATTGCGGCACTAGACTCGTTCCAGTCCCTCGCTTGTTTCTAAATTGGAATCCTTTCACTTATTCTATGTACAGACAGTTCCACGCCGCCGTCTGCTTCCGTGAATCCAGACGAAATCACACTGAAAGAAGGCCAGACCGCAACAATAACTTGTGAAAAACTGACGATCATCTTACAATTCTAGCTGTTGGCAGTGCACCGATTGTTCAAGTAAGTCCCAAGAGTCTCAATGTGATGGAAGGCGAGGCGGCTGAACTACAGTGTACGGCGTCTGGCGACCCTCCGCCAACCTTTACTTGGAGTAGAGTGGAAGGAGATATCCCAGAATCATCCACAAAAATTGATGGCGTCTTAAGAATTGATTCATTGAGCATTAACGATAGCGGAACGTATGTCTGTACAGCGGCTAATCGTTTTGGCGCAGTCGCAGAAAATGCTGTTGTGACTGTAGAGAAAGGTGGGCCAGCGCAAATAGTTATGAATGCTTATTGATAGTTATTAATGCTTACTTAGCCACTTAGTTCCTTAAGCAATCCCAAGTGCCATTGCGGCACTAGACTCGTTCCAGTCCCTCGCTTGTTTCTAAATTGGAATCCTTTCACTTATTCTATGTACAGACAGTTCCACGCCGCCGTCTGCTTCCGTGAATCCAGACGAAATCACAYTGAAAGAAGGCCAGACCGCAACAATAACTTGTGAAATTGATGGGAACCCTTTACCGAGCGTGAGCTGGAACCGACTGGGCGGATTCTTAAATGACAACCACGTGATTAGTRATAATCAGCTTATGATAGTTAACATTACTGAAGAGGACGAAGGCCCGTATGTGTGTATTGCGCAAAATCGTAAAGGAGTGCAACAAGCTACTTCTATYGTACGAGTTGAGAGTAAGTGGACTAAAAATTCAAACGAACTATGAATATTTATAGCAGGTTATTTCACGAATGTTTTGCAAAGCAATAGACCTAATCGGCTAACATGTTGCCATTTAGGTTACCATCCAATTCAAATCCTGTGGAAAAAATGAACTTTTGTTTCTAAGAATTCAACTTTGAAAATGAAAATACAGTGAACAATGAAACTTACTCCCGGATGGTTTGAATTGAGTGGAATCGTTTACAGCCGATTAGGTATATTCTACGTTTTTAGCTTGCATCACATCTTGAAGGAACTTCAACAAAGAATTTATCATCAGTATCTATTGTTTATTCTTTCRACATGGCCGCCGATCTTTTATCTTTTGACTCTCTTAAGAATGGTTGAAAATATTGAATTATTTGTATTTTCAGAAAATATCATGCCAAAAATTGAGATCATGCCGTCTTCCAAYCAAACTGTCATCGGCGGAGACTCAGTRGTKTTCAGATGTATGGTRAAGGAAGGATTACCATTACCTTCCATTGAATGGATGGATGGACAGAAYAAGACCTTGAATAGATCTACTGCGGAAGTCAAGAACGATATGCTGATGATATCACGTGCTTCCGGTCAAGACGAAGGCCGCTATGTATGCCGGGCTAACAATTCGATGGGGTATGCATTCGCAGAAGCAGTTCTAACTGTACAGGGTGAGTTTTCTGCTTACAGCGAGCGTTAACTGCTCATTTCTTTGGTTAWTGGTACGCCAGCTTTGTTATTGAAGTGCAAAATATTCTATTTCTCAAGGACAACGTTTTTTGCAATGAACCATTTTAACGATCGCTTTAAAACTGAGTTGCCTCAAAACCATGTAATATATTCTTTTATTCAGTAACAGTCCGTGCAAATAGACGCCACAACGTTTGCCTACAGTCATCTCATATAACCTGCGTAGTAAGTCATCCTTACAACATAGCTATAACTGTCGTGGGGATTTAAAATAATTGTTTAATAGCCCTACAACAGTTGTATAGGCATGTTGAAAGGATGACTTACGCAGTTTGCATGCGATGTGCTGATTGCAGGCAAACGTTGTGTCGTCTAATTCGGTTTGGAAATGAAAGAAAGTTATAGTGCTTAGAAGGAGGCAATTCCGGGAGAAGTCCCTTAGGAATAAATTCGGAAAAATTTATTTCCGACCTCGCTGGGATTCGAACCCACGACCTTCGGATTTGTACACCGATGCTCTACCAGCTGAGCTACAAGGCCAGACTGGGAGCAGGTCGGGGTGAAATAGATGTTAAGGTTGCGGTAATAGAATAATGTAAAGATATGAATATAAAGACCGCATGGCACTATGATAAACACGATATAGAAATGAAAGAAAGTTATAGTGCTTAGAATTAATTCGGTTTGTACGTGTATCTATGCTTAAAATTCTTTCGATTCATAGCCGAACCACGTGTTGTGGTCACACCCTCGAGTCCATACCTCGTGTCTGTTCACAGTCAGGTATCCCTAGTGTGCACATCGTCTGGCGATCCACAACCTACCGTGMGATGGATAGCACCAGACTCTRGCAATACAACTCACAAACCAAATGAAATTGAGCCAGGCGTTTGGCAGTTGGTMATAGAAGAGATAACAATGGATGATCARGGGAGTTATAAATGTATYGCYAGTAGTGTTGCTGGGAGAGCAGAGGCTTCGTTGRACCTAGTTGGTATGTCATTTGTATACTTGGGTAGGAAGTTCATGGCTAAATCTTGCTGCATGTTATAATGATGTATAGATAGATACATTGACCAGGGTTCGTGCTTCTCCTTGAAGTCTTCCGTTCAGGATTCTGCTAGAGTTTGAGTCCTTGTGTGTGATTTAAAATAAGTTATCTATAGCCTTGGGATCCTCTCTTGGAAACTGAAATTCACTGACMTTTCTACCAGATACAGTTGTACTATTGCATTACAGTACGGTCTATACGATTTCCAACACACTCTCTCCTTCCTTCCCTCAAACATATTTTCCAATAATTTATATCTGAAGATGTGGAGAAACATGTGATAGCAAACACCCCCTAATACGGTTAAAAGTTCCTCCCCTGAAAAGTTCCTCCCCTAAAGCCGTCCTTGATAATTTATTTCAATTCTTAATCGTCTTCCATGTTTAGTTACACCTCTAGTCAAAGAACCACCACAGGTAAAGGTCAGCCCCTCTAATCTAACTACCTCTGAAGGGCAAAAAGTATTCTTTCAATGCAACGTTTCTGGCATCCCCTCCCCCGGTGYGTCGTGGACAAAGAAAGATGGACCCCTTCCTGAAACTGCTGTTCAATCAGTACCTGGGATTCTAAGGATAGATTCAGCGAGTGCAARTGATCAAGGAGTGTATATCTGTACTGCTACAAACAGTGAAGGATCAGCGTCTGGTTCCGTTAGGCTTAACGTAATGGGTACGTATGATTACGTTACGTTTAACGAAATGTTTACGTTATGTTTGCTATCGAGGTTCAAGTAGACGCTCTATAAACGGCTATCTGCTACAGGTCTCGTCCAAACATTCGCTGTAGATTGAAGAAAAGATCTCATCTATCGATCGTGATAATTTTATAGAAATGGCCTGACCGACCGTGTTATCGGATAGTTCTTTGAGAGTTTCAAAGAATAAACAGACTCTTGTTAGAAGAGGAACGGATAGTCATTAGCAGGAACTTAACAGAGGGTTAGCGGATAGCTATGGAAAAGTTATTGAGAGTTACCGTGAAGTTATCAGAGAGTTATAGTAGASTTAATGAAGAGTTACTCGAGTGAGGGTTACCAGAGGCTTCACAGAAAGGATTATTGCACAGTTACAAAAGAGTTACAACAGAGAGCTTTCTGATGATTGACTAGAGTCATTAAGAGTTATTTGAAAGTTCTTAGACGGGTAACGGAATTTCTTTTTTTAAATAGATTAAAGTTTTGATGGGTCAGAGAAGGGATAATCATTATGCTCATGTTCTTTTCTGCCTTTCCAGTACCCCCAAAGTTATCTATCACCCCACGGCATCTAACAGTCGAACAAGGACAATCTATTCGTCTATATTGTGTGTCATCCCCACCCCTCCCCGTCACGTGGACAAGAGTCAATGGATCTATTGCAAAGAGGGCTGTCATGGACGATGGAGTTCTTATTGTTGACGAGACTAATATCGAAGACACTGGRAAATACCGCTGCCAAGCAAGCAATAGCGCTGGCGCAAGTGATGCTGTCGTTATGGTTACGGTGTTTGGTATGTGTCATTCAAATTCTCTCTCTCTAATTCCTCCTTCCTTAYTCCTCTTTTCCCTTCCCACTTAATTCTATTTCCCATAATTCACCACCTTTCATTTTCACTTTCATTCAATTCTTCCTTCTTTTCTACTTTTCATTTTTATCTACTTTTGTTCTTCTTAAAACAGTTGCTCCAAAGGTCAAAGTATCACCACCTGAACACGTGGGTAGTCTCGGATCCAACGTGACATTCACGTGTCTTGCCACAGGRATCCCAACACCCGTGATTACCTGGACTAAACAAGTTGGGTTCTTACCCAAGACCCATGTCGTTGAGAATGGCAGCTTAACYATGTTTGCCCTGTCAGGGGACGATCAAGGCAGTTATATTTGTACGGCTACAAACGCTGCAGGTCGCAATTTTTTTGTTGCTACATTGAGAATTGAAGGTGAGGATAAAAAGGCCTATTTTTGCTGGGGTGGATAAAGGACTTTCCTCAGGGAGAAGGGAGCTCCCGTCAAAGAGAACTTAGGGAACTTCATTTTTGACAACGAGTACGATATTGAGTACGGGTTTTAAAATTGGCCTTTGTGCTATTTTATCATGAATTGCATTCCTGTGAATATAATAGATTGAAACATCAAAGAAATAAAAACACGTGGATTGAACAAGTGGATTGAAATCCAGTATGGACAGCACAATAAAAGCTGGTTTGAAAACTCGTACCCGTACTCAATCTAGTACTYGTTGTCAAATCTGAAGTTCCCTATTAAGGGAACAGGGAAGGGAACCACGATATCAGTTTGATGTGATTTCATAACGAAAGGAAGACAATTTTTTAGTCATATATATGTTCCTTGAATAGACGAAATGAATTAGCCAGCCCATGTCAACACAGAAATAGATTTACCCTAAGAAACCATGTTATATAACTCTACCGGATGTAAATTAGTAGCGTTTTAAACTACCAGCAAACTTTAACGGTCATTCATTCATTCATTGTAACTTGCCTGACGAGAGTGGCAATCTCTGATGACTATACGAAACCAGCTTGTAGCAATAAAACAATGAATCATTCTAGTCTTTAAGTACAATTTTATTTTATAACYTATAATTATGTATATAACCTTTCATTGCTGTCTATAGAACTACCAAGTGTCTCAATTATTGGAGGTACATCGGTCAAAACAGTTCCCGTGGGGGGTAACCTGACATTGGAATGYCATGGCACAGGAATCCCGCAACCRTCTGTTATATGGGGCCGAATCAACAGAGATCTTCCTGACGAKGTTGTWGTAAAGGGACAGAAGTTGTATATTGTCAATGCAAAGCCTTCATTTGGCGGGACTTATAGATGTAGTGTTGCAAACCGAGTTGGTTCMGTTCAGTCTCAGATTGTCATCTTTATTCAAGGTAGCGTTCAAAAAGCGAGTCTTACGTAAATCGATCAAATCTTACGTACATTTATCACGTCTTACGTCACTGTCTATCGCCCCGCTACATACAGACCTCAAATTTTTCGTATATGCCACCAACTTTTCTTACGTAAACGTCTCAGATCTTTCTCAAATGTTTGTCTGAAGTCTTGCGTACATGTGTCATGTCTTACATACATTTGTCGATATTTACGTACGTTTTTCAAGTCTTTGTCAAGTTRGATRCGTACAYGTATCATGYYTTAAGTACATTTGTCAAGCTTTACGTACGKTTTTCAAGTCTTTGTCAAGTTGGATGTTTCAGTTTTTAMGCRCGTGTTTCAATGAACTCTTWCGTACATATAAAAACGTACGGAAACGTAGAGCTAACATGATTCTTTTTTTCCTTTGTAAGACGCACCTCAAGTAACAATTACACCCAAAGTACGCAAGGTCAAACTGCGTGAAACCGCTGAATTCACCTGTATTGTAAGCGGATCTCCAGCACCGGAAGTGTCTTGGCATCGCTTGAACAAATCACTTCCTGTTCGTCATTCTGTCAAGGAAGGCAAGCTTATYATTTCCAACGTCACAGAAGATGACATTGGCATATATATCTGTCGAGCGAGTAACTTGCAAGGTATCTCGGAATCTTCTGCATCAATTGCATTAAAAGGTAATACAATCTCCRGTTTGCTGGTGAATTTGGTTGATATTTTTGAATTTGCCGATTTATTATATTGAATACGCCTTTTTCCGTTCAAAGCGAGAAAAACGTCTGACTCAGTTGACAACATTACGTCTCTCATGCGAAGAGACCTTCCCGAAAACAAGAGAATTAAAACACGAAAAAATGTTATTACAATAAATTTGTTATTACATTTTCTCCGATTTGATCAAGACTGTATTCCCAGAATTCTAAATCTCTAGGTCACGTGGGAATGCATGACCTCGAATCAGAGAAGCTTCAAAATGCCGATTTTGGTTCAGTTACCATGCACAAAAGAATTGCAGACGAGGCTCCGGGGAAATAACAAAATAAATCAAAATTATTCATTGTTTTCCCGGAGCCTCGTGTGAGTTCTTTTGTACATAGTCATCGAACCAAAATGTCAGAAGTTGACTATTTATAGGGCTATTGTCAACATTTTTTCGTGATTTCTTTTGTTCTCTGTGCAAGTGAGTCTGTTGTGTTCTAAAACAGCGGTCACCTTAATTAAACAGGAGAAAGGCAGTTTGAGTTTGGTTGGTCACTTGGTTTGCCGATTAGTTAGGTTGGATTGATATTAAAGTTATAAAAATTGTTGAGGTTGTTCGTCTTTCTTGTGTATGGTCGGTTTTAGAATGATTTGCATTTTGAAATTCATTGATCTAGAGTTGCTAAACAAGCCACCAATTCTCTTTTTCCAGGCGTCATCCCTCGCTTCAATCAAAATCCAACATCATACATGACTCTCCCTACACTAACCAAAGAACCACTAAACTTCACGGTTGAAATCTTCTTCTCTCCCGAAATTGCCGACGGACTAATATTCTACAACGATCAACACGTAAACGACTCTGTTGGTGATTTTATCTCGTTTGGAATGTCAGCCGGGTACGCTGAGTTTAGATTTGACTTAGGCTCACGTGGTCCAGCGGTAATCCGTAGTAAATACCGATTAAGTCTGTACCGCTGGTATGTGATCAAACTCACTCGAAGCGACAACGAGGGGACGCTACAAGTCAACGAAGACGCGAGACGGACAGGAACTTCTAAAGGAGAAACATCGCAGTTGAATCTAAATGAACCGTTTTACGTTGGAGGCGTTGCGAACTTTAGCATCATTAGTGATTTGGCGGGTTTTAGTAAAGGGTTTATCGGCTGTGTTAGTTATATCAAAGTGGATGGGAAACATCTTGACCTTAGTAAGTTATCAAGCAATCAAGTTGAATCCACATGAGATCATAATTGTTGATTTGTGTTGATTCACAGTTTTTTTTCATTTTATGTTGTTTGTCGCACAATAGGTTAAACTCTCATGTGGATTCGTCTTGATTGCGTTCTGGTTCATTGATACTGACAAATTGTCTCTGAATAGGCCATTTGCATGATGGCGTAACTTTACTACAACTACCAGAAAGCCTTGCGCATTTTCTTTGTTATGCAGATTTTTAATCCCCTTAGCGATTAGTAAAACAATTGGCACTAATTGCATTACAAAAGAAAGTGGGCAAAGCATTCTGGTAGTTGTAGTAAATGACGCCATAATGCAAATCGCCTATAGCCGCTATTTGTTAGTATTTAGTTTGGTTTTAATTCATGTTTTTCCTGCTTTTGCTGTAAAGGTGCATTATCACCCTAGATGCTTTGCGCACCTTGCTATAATTTCGTTTTGCTTGAAATTGTTTTGAGGGCTATTTCGACTGACTATCGAGAAATAATCCAGTTTCGAATTCTCCAATGCTCTGTGTTAGCCTCATTTGTGCGCAAAATATTCCTAATTGTGAGAATAAAAGTGTGAGATTTCAAATCAATTCCATTGTCTTTCCTTTCAAATTCCATGCGTTATCTCGGGCTATCAAGGGTCTATCAATGAAACAAAAGAATATGTTACTTGGTTTTGAGGCTAACACAGAGCAAACCAGAACTCGAAATCGGAGTATTGATTAAAATAACCTGTGCAACTTGCTGGGCAATTAATGAAGCAAAAAATAACAATTTCAAACGTAAATCAACACAGGCAACACAAACTTCTATTAAATCTTGTATGGTTAAACCGACTAATCAGAAGCAAGCATTTTTTTCGAAAACATAAACAAACAGTCGCGATGCTTTGAGTGACAAAATCCTTGAACCATCCAGTTAATTTCCTTCTTTTAAGCAACACCCACAGACAATTTCATCCCCCTACCCCCCTAAATGCAGTGTTGTCATTGAGCTTGTTATCAAAGTACACAACYATCCAAAACAAGACCCAACATTGATGAAAGGGGGGCTAATAGGGAGAACTGTGAAAAAATAGTAAAATAAAGGAGAAAAATGTTGGGCTGTAGACAAATAATTCCATAGTCCAAGTTTTTTTTGACATCGATTTTACAAATCTATGGTCCAAGGTTTTTTGGCATCGATTTTACAAATCTATGGTCCAAGTTTTTTCGTCATCGATTGTAGTTTATTTTAAACTGAATATTTCCAGAAAATCCAAGTGAACAAGTTGGTGTTACCGACTGTGAACCATGCGTCAACAATCCCTGCCGGAACGGTGGTCAGTGCCTCGACACTTTGGTTTCCCCCGGTTTTGTGTGTCAATGTCGACCAGGATTCTCTGGACGGACTTGCGAGGTTTATGGCAATGGCTGTTACCCAGAAGCCTGCGAGAACGGTCGATGCGTGAATTTGGACGTTGGAGGATATAAGTGTGTTTGTGCCGTGGGGTATACCGGTGAGAGATGTGAGAAAGGTGAGTGAACAACTTGTTCTTGTCGTTAAGTGACACTTTCATGACTTTCATTTGGACATTTTTTCTTTAAGTCTTTAAGTACAAGAGAATTGTCAGCCAAGAGAGGGTTATTTCGCGACCAAAATTGTTGGATTTTGGATGTGACAAAACCTTTCTGAAGGCTTATTCGCGATTTTTTTAAAAATGGCACGATATATCACGGTCGCCAACCAGGGCACTGCGGACGAAGCACTAATACGAGCTCAAAGGCCAATTTCCGTATAGTAAATTTTGATGGTGTCTTTCAACAGTGTTTTGTCATATATACATACCAATACATCTTTCAAACTTTTGGACACTGCATACATGCGATATTCGTAGTGATTTCTAAATGGAAGGGCTTTGAGGTCTCGTTTCCATGTTTTGTCACTAGTCCCCCGACACATTCACGACCGCCATTTTTGAAAGTCGTGTACTATATTAGATTTGTATCAAATGAATCTTTGGCTATTTGTCATGTTTGCAATATCTTAATATGCGATTGCAAGCTTTCGCTGTCTACAGTACAGTCAAGATAACTTTATACGCTTACTATACTGTTCATGTTAATATATAATTCACCGATTGATTTACAAACGTAGGAGCCAAAATAGAAACTCCAATGTTCGAAGGCACATCCTACATGGCATACCCAAGCATCCAAGGGGCTCTAATGGACGTCAAACTGAGCATGCGCTTTATGGTTCATGAGAATCGCAACATGTTACTGCTTTACAATGGTCAAAATAACTTCCCATCTCAAGGAGACTACCTCTCTATTKCCATCATTGACGGCAAAGYYGAGTTCCGATTCAATTTAGGAAAGGGTCCAGCSGTYATMCGAAGCAAAACAAACATTACTRTAGGWAAATGGCATAATGTTGTYGTTGAACGAGACAAAAGAGATGGCTCATTGACTCTTGATTCTGAGCCTGCAGTCAAAGATCAAGCYCCTTGTTGTAGCATAGGCTTGAACGTCGCCATGCCGCTGTACATCGGAGGGGTCTCGAACCTCTCTAATATCGACTCGGWAAAACTCGGCATTGATTCGGGATTCTTCGGRTGCGTTTCGGATGTTTCCGTTGACGATAGTGAAATTGATCTAGTGAATACATATCTTGAAATGCGTAATGTGAGGCAATGCAAGGACTGTCTTGAACCATGCCAAGTAGGACCATGTACTAACAATGGTACCTGCGTACCGCAAGGACTGACGGGATACTATTGTGTTTGCGCGCAAGGTTTTACTGGGAAAAATTGTGAGTTTCATTTAGTTGGACCTGGGAAGAACCGGACATGTCTAAATGGGGGATTACCCTTCCCCCCGTCGGGAAGAGTTTGTGAGTGTCCTTTGGGATTTGGAGATGAGCGATGTGGGAGTGGTAAGTGGACTTTAATCACAGYTATTGTTTATTTACAACGATGAATAAAACATCAGTCTTCTTATCGTATTCGACGGATGTAAGATGCATTATGGATATATAGAAACGTTTAATAGACTACTAGCTTTATGGATAGGTACATAGAATGAACAGAATAATGGCGGATCACTTTCAATAATGACTTTAATCCCAGCTATTTGCTATTAGCAATGACGAATTAATAGTATTCGTCGGCTGTAGGATGCACTAAAGATAGTATATAGTAGCTATATATAGGTACGTGGACTGAACAGAATAATGGYGAAACAATTTCACTAATTGCTAAAAAAAGCTATTTGTAAATGCAAAGTAATGCTACAAGAAGACTATTYAGTCAGGAAGATTAARTGCACTTACTCTCGTTCTTTACATYCGTTTTCCAGCTCTTACAAAATTATAAAAACTTATAATCAATTTTATTGTTTTTTAGTTGTGCAGCTAGGGGATACGGCATCGTTCKCAGGGGATGGATAYATTCAGTACCCTAAATCTGTCATGAACAGGATGTGAGTATTGTCGTGAAATCTTTGCARTTCAATAAGTGTACCTTGCTTACAAAGCATTRGTGAATTGTTTGAATAGGCAAAGTGAAGCGACGCCATTTTGTRCAATAAAGMWKGRWGKKRKTWGTYMKTSC